TGTTCGGCATTGTGTAGTTTATTTCTGGGTTTTCATTTAGAAGCACTAAGGTTTGACATTTTGTATGACATTATTTACAAGGGCATTGCCATCAGAATGCTTGCTAAAAATATGGTCACCTGAAGAGATGATCAATGAGCATCCAGCCATTTTATACTTAATGTTCTTGTTTATTTCAGTTCCTTATTTACAAAATGAGCTGCCTGCTTGCTTGCAGGTGTTACCTGTTGGAGGGGAGTGAAGGAAATCTGCATATTCTTTCAAATGAAGGTGACAATTTATACCACTTGCATTGGGTCAAATTGTGTCTCTTACTCCTCAGTGACAAATTTCCAGGCTTTTACAGAATATGTAATCAACTTACTCATGAAAGAAACATATTCAGGAACTCTGTTGATTATTGAGACAAGGAGGCTTGTACCTGAGAATGGAATATGTCTTTTCTGGTTCTAGATGAGAATTTGCTGCTCTTAAATTAAATAGAACAAGGCATTTCTAAGCTGAATCAGAGAACAAATGCCTGCATTTTTTACCAAGTTGCTGTATGATTTTAATTTGCTACATGGCAGTCAGCTGCTCTGAAATGCACCTGCCGAATGATATTGTGACACACAGGTCAAAGTAATTATATATTTCTAAATGTTATGTTTAAGGTTCAACCCCTCCTAAATCAAAACTTAATTCATTTCTGTGGGATATGTGTAGGAGGAACTGCATTTCATGGACTGTAACCTTGGTGTCTATGAGAACATATTTACTTGACTTTCTGAACTTGTAATTGGAAGTGCACCACATCATTCTAAAATTGTTTATTTGATCTTAAATCAGTCTCACTGTGAGTTTGATCAGAACTTCAAGAAGAATTCACTTACAGAAATTAAGACAATTCTGTCTGATGCTTTAAAATAACCATTACCCTTTTTAATGGTTTTTTTTTAAAATAACCATTAAAATCTGTCTGATGCTTTTTAAAATAACTATAGCCCTTTGAATTAGAAAGCTTTCCTCTATAAATTGGGATACATGGCCATCCTAGATGCCCTGAAAACTTTGGGTCCATTGGATCCCAAGTCCATAGATAACTGAGGGATCTGATCCTCAGGCCTTTCAGCTATACTAGCCAGTTACTGCAGCAGTGGAAAAAGACGAGACAACTGTCCTGGCTGGTCTGAAAATTCATGAAGCAAGGAGATATCTGTTTTGGGTGTGCTCATGTGAATTGGTGAATATACACATGCATCTGAAATCTGTCTTTTAGATTATCAGATGTGGGATTTTAAAACAAATTTGATATTGAATACTCTGCAGGCAGGTTTATCTTTCCCTGCTATGGCTCCATTCTGGGGTGATGTTATGTCCTTACCCATCAATTGCTGAAGACTGATCTGTAATATTTTAGAGCAAGAGAACTCAAAGTTTGTTGCTGACTGGTCTCTAAGGATGTTTAAGAAGGTGATATATGGGAATTTTTTTATTTAAAAAATGCCCTCCCCAGTAGTGTTTATTGGTCAGAACATTGACCGTCAACTCACTCAAGATGAACCCTGGCCCAAATCCATAAGCAGAGGCAAAATGAATCATTATTCCGTATATCTTAGGTTGACAACTAGTTAGAAAAGAATCAATAAAGTGACTATTTCTCAAAGTCTTCTTGCTTAGAGAATCAGTCTTTCAAAATCTTTCCATTATATTTTGCATACACGGCTTCTCTCTGTCTACTTCTTTCATTTTTGTTTTATGGTGTATTTTAATTATTATGTATTTCAATAGTTTTGTGCAGTTGGTGTTTTTAAAAAATGTTTAGAAGTGTATTTTGGCAGTGAGTAATATATTACTAAACAAATAAAGTATTAATAATAAATATAGTAATGGTTAATAATCTGATTGTTAATATATTATTAATAAGATATAAAATTATAAATAAATAAATAAATAAATAAATAAATAGCAATAGTATTCATGGAAATAGTTCTAGCTGGAAATCCTACACTGTATCAAATACTGATTTCTCAATTAAGTATTGATGGGATTAACACCTATGCTCATTAGAAGAAACATGGCTGGGTAATCAATATCTAATTTGAGGTGAATGTCTATTGCATAATATATTTTACTGTTATTTTCCCTGCAAGCAGTCAATATGTCCACCACATATAACTGCAGAATTCCTTGCAATTCAGACCCCTGTTTCTGATGATTACACACTTTCTGAAACTCATTTCTTATCTGGATTGATTCTTAATCTTTAAAACACCTCTGGCAGCCAGAGGCGTGCTAACAGAAATATGGGTGCATTCAAAGCAAATGCTATTCCTACTTCAATTAACAATTCTAGATACTTGGTGGTTTCCTTTTCAAAATGAAGGCAGTACAGCTGTCATATTGATTCTTGCCTCTAGCAGTGGTCAGGACCATTTTCTGTCTTATCCCCCTTCCATCCAAACTCCCAGGTACTGAAGTCACAGAGGTTGGAACCAATCCATCAGTTGTGCTAACATCTTGACACACTCAAAAAAGAAAGGGCTTTTTCTTTTCTTTTTCAGAGCTGTTCTCCCGGCCCCAAACACTTCTGCAAAGACTTAATGTGCAGAGGAACCATATCAGGGTTTTCTGTTTGTTTGTTTAAAGGCAGCAGGTGAATTTCAGTGGCAGGGAAAAGCGGGTGAAGGAACTAAGTAGTACACACCATGACTGTAGGATTTCTGATACCTACAGAGGGCAACCTATTGATGGTACCTGATTCCAGGTATCACCAGAGCCAATGTACCCATTGAATGGAAGGGCTGGAGTGTGCACAGTCTCTCAGGAACCCAAAAGCAAAACTGATAGAGAGCTTGGAAGGTATGGCATCATGGTACTTCTGAAATGACTACATTCCCAAAGACAGACATTCGGGAACAGGATAATAGATCGATGGGGATTAGGCATCAGACTGTGAACATTTTAAGCACCCTCTAAGAAACCATAGCTAGAACTCTATCCTTCTTAACAGAAGCATGAATAACGTCAATGAGTTTTCCAGTAAGATTTGAGATACTATGTTTGAAACTAGCTTTTCAGGATTTGGTTCAAATGTGAAAATATGTTGGGTTCTAATAGGGATGGGGGAGATATTTGTTCCATTTACATTTTGAAATGCATAGGCCTCATCCATTGGTCCCTGGCCAAAATTATAGGATGGAACAGAGCCATGATTTTAAGTGTAGGCAAAGCTGGCATGGAATGGAAACATCCACAAATTCTAACAACCTCCCAAGCAGAACCAAGAAGGGTTCTCGTTTCCACATTCTGGTGATCATTGTTACATGAGTGACCCAAATCAAATTGATTCATGTTTCTTTCATCCATACATCTAAAACCATCAATCTAGTCTGAAATAAGATTTCTTCATAACAACTTCTAGAATGTTATCCTGAGCACGCTGAGCCCAGGGAGGACAAATAGCTGGTAGCTTAATTCTTTATTGACAAAGCGCACATTTACGGTAGCTCTTAAGATGTACGGAACACACACACTTCCAACAACTAAATAGATGGCATGCCCTCACCAGGCTTGTGCTCCAAGCTGGACTTCTGGGGCAACAGCTTGACCATGCCTCTGTCCAAACTTAAGTACCTTCATCTGATGGGATGCACGCAAGCAACCAGCATGGAAGTTGCTGCTGGGCCTTCCTCTTTAAGCCCTTCCTGGTCCTGGGGGACAGCAGGGAAAGAGATGGATGGGATTCCACACCCCCCCTCAGGTGCATCTCTTCATCCACTTCTGGTGTATTCTGCCCTTCTTCCCTTGTCTCCAGCTGCTACAACTCTTCCCTGTCCTTCAGCCCCAGCCTCTGCCTTGTGTCCTGCACCTCCTCTTCCGTCCCTGACTGCTCAGACTCTTACCCTTCCTCCAGCCCTGGCTGCTGCCTTTCAAGAGGCACAAAACTGCACAAATCACTAGCCACTTCCCCTGGACTAGCCTCTGACCCTGCTGCCTCTGCCACACATTCCTTGAAGTCCTGCCAGTCCCTGATACATGTGCTTTCTCAAATGGTCAGACCAGGAGATACCTTAAATGTGTGTATGCATTTAAGGTGTTGCGTTTTTTGTTTACCAAATAGAAGCTGCAAGGGCCCAAGCAGAGATGCAACCATAGTGTGTGTGTGCATGTGTGCATGTGTGTATGAAAATAATTTTAACCCTTTCTCTCCATGGTGCCATCCTACACCCCTCTGAATTTGCTACTTCGACATTAATAGCAGCTCTCTTCTAAGGATGAAGAGCTGTTTGGGGAGGGGTTTTCACTGGGATCTCAGCACGTGAGGAACAGATAATTTCCCTCCCCTGCCCACCATGGTTCTGATCCTAATCCACCCCCAACATCATGGCTGCAATTTGAAAAAACAAAATGCAGACATTTGAAACACATACATTTAACATATACAGTATTTTTCCGTCTATAAGATGCCCCCATGTATAAGATGCCCCCTATTTTGGGGGACTCTGATTTAAGAAAATAGGGGAAGATCTATCCATGTATAAGACACCCCCAAATTCTGGACATTATTTTTTAGGGGGGGACGACCTAGTCTTATACATGGAAAAATACGGTAGTTTAGTTTGGTCTTGCATTTTCTTTGTAAACTCTCTGATATCATTACGTGTGTGTTGGAGGGGGAGAAAAGATTTTCATCTTGTATTACCTTAAATTCTGTCTCAATGTTGGCTAGTCTTGCCAGTTCGTTGCTTAGCTCTAAAGCGGTAAGAACAGGGTCTTCACTAGAAAGAGCCAAATAAGCAGCACTTGCTAATCCTTTGTAGGCATTCATCCTCGATCGCGAATGACTGAACGAATCTTTCCTTTGCTTCTCAAAGCATTCATTGCACTTACAGAAGTAGTCGTGGGGCCTTTCTATCCGTGCCCCTTTCAGTAGCAATATATGAACAATTTCATATTCCTGGCAATGAGCAGCAAGTATGATAGGAGTAATGTCATGGGAAAAGCGCGTTCCATCTTCATCATAAGCGTAAAAATCGTCGTCTCGTAGCTCTTGCTCGAGGGGGCTGAGAGTGAGACGTTGTCCTTGTGCAAAGGCCGGGTGGTTCAATATTGCTTCCACAATACGCACATATCCTTTGCTGATGGCTAACAAGAGTGCATCCCCAACGCGAGCCAGATTCTCCTTCTTCAGAAGGAGTTCAGTGACTTCCAGGTGTTCATTGCCCACTGCCAGCTGCAGAGCATTTTGTCCCATGTAATCAACGCAGTTGAAGTTCAAAGTTTTGGATTCCTCCAGCATTTTCCGTACCACCGGGATGTTCCCATATTCTGCTGAATCCAAGAAGCGCTCTTCCTCAGGTGTCAAGCTGGTGCCTTTCTCATTGAACATGTAGGCTGGGCCTCGGGTGGCCTGCCTCCGCCCTTTCTCCCGGAGGGTGGTGTGCCGTCGATGCATGATTTTCAGATATGTGGTTTTTCAAGCCTGGGGGGAAAGAACAGAATATAGTGGATTTCTAAAGGCGAATGCTGTCTGTCTGTCTATCCATCTATTGATTACCTTGTGCTTGATCTGACTTTTATTTCCCAATGATATCCAAGCAGAAAGTCTTAGGTGCTTAGCTCTGCTATTGAAACACATGTTTGTCATAGTCAGAATAAACCCCTTGGAATTAATGGGCATAACTAACTTAGGTCTATTCATTTCAGTGGGTCTACTCTAAGCTGGGTACAACCCAAGGAACTTAAAGGTTTCTGAGACTGAAAGTAGAATTAGTTTAGTTGGCACCAATTGGAGATTTCATTTAAGGTTAATTTCTGGGGGACGGTGGGATATTTTTGAGAGCAGAGTTAAGGAAGGCTGTGTTAAACCTCTCCTCCTCAAGTACTACAGTTCCTGTGAAAAATGGTCCACCCTGTCCAACTTTAAAATAAAAATAATAATTCCATGTTGTAACTACAAACTATGCCATTGAAGTAACATCTAGTTTGAGCTTAACTTCAACTGGATCATATCCATTATTTTAAATCATAAAGTTTCTTCTAAAGCAGGCACACAAATGCTTGTCAACATGGCATGTTTTAAAAGGATTTACCTATATCTTAATATACTGACCTGTAATGAATACTGGTCATACTTTTAGGCTGAAGTACAGATTTGATTGTTGCTGCATCATCCAAAGTTATGAAGTGGCCATTAAAGGATCAGGCATATATCTGGATTTGTTTCACTGAGATTTTCCTTTTTAAGCAGAATTTTACTATCACAGCACACTTTAATTACATAGAAACTTGGGATTTGGATTCAGAGCTCAATAAAGTCAAAAATAATGTTTGCATTTTGGATGACGCCTTCAAAGGCTCACACAAAGTGGAATTCACCACAGTAAATTGTGCGGTCAATAATTCAATACTACTTGGAATCATTCCAGGGGCAATTAAGTACTGATGAAAGAAGGGCACAAGATTCAATAATTCATGGCAACATTCTTTTCCAGGTTCTCAGCAGTTTTACAATATATTGTTTGAAAACTTAAACTGTAATAGTAATATATAAGCCACGTCGCTTCTCTGAAGTCATTAATCTCCTTAATAGATTCCTACATCTGAACGTATATTCTCCGCTGAGATCTCATGTCACAATTTAAAACCAAAGATTGCCAAAGGTCACCTATTAAGAAGATTTCCTTCCTGGAGAATCCCTAGGGATCTCTGAAACATCACATCAAAATGCAGGTGTTCACTTAGTGCTCAAGTGTGATTTAGATGATAAATGGCTAGGTAGCTCCAGTGGAATCCTAGAATTGCAATAGTAATCATCAGGTGAAATTCTATTGCTAATGAGAGAAAATATCTGCTTTATATTATTTTAGTTGTTATTTTTCCTATATCTATCACAGGAAAGCGGGTAGAGAACCAAATATGAATGAGCTACCTCTTCTCTGTGTCATGCTAGGTCCATGCTGGTAGAGCAGCGATGAAGTTGGGTGAAACTGAGACCTCCTGTTCCTTTTTAAACACACACACACCCCTTCCCTCTGATTAATTCAAATTTTTTAATTCAAAAAATAAGTCAATAAACCAAACCAGCTCTGAGGCTGAAGTACTTTGTCCTAAATTACTGGAGCATGTCAGGGGATATTACAGCCTCTGGGACGCCCTCCCAGTGACCATAGGATCACAGGTTTGATGTCTAGGAAAAAGGGAATTATTTACTCCTAAAAGCTTGATATAATTTAATGCTTTAAAAAAAACAAGAACAAACCACAACCAGGATGGTTTAGAATGTCTATATTGTGCTATGGGATTATTTCAGACACACAGCTCCCTGGAAGCTGATAGAATAGTCAATTACCATACATCCGGGGGGGTTTCCTGACATTTTGACTATTCAGCAAAATTAGCCCTGACACCATTTTTACACCCGAAAACCAGGACATGTCAGGAATTTTCCTGACGTATGGCAAGTCTAACTTATGGTCCATTGTAGACATTGTCAAAGAGATATAAACAAGAAGGTGTGCTCAGCACCCACCCCCAAAGGGTCCAGACCTATTAATTACTTTCCATAATCACATTTATTGTTAAACCAGGTCAAGAGAGGTGGGAGGGGTAGGGAGGGAGGAATTTGATAGTAGCGAAATTTATTTTTGCCATCAGCACAGCCATTTCCCATTGAGAATTGAATGCCAATATTTATGGCTAACTTTTTCAAAGCAAGTGGAGGCTCAGTTCCAATTACTTGTCAGATGAGTTGGCTGTTTAGAACATTTCTGTAGCTTTCCAAATCACAAAGGATGAACAACAAAGCCAAACAGATTCAAAAGAGGCCTAACTGAATGATGAGGAGTAAAAGTGGTGGTGAGCTTTTAATGAAACAATGGCCAGGTGTGGACTTGAACAGAGCTGGAGCCAAGAACCAGCATGGCTGGGCATATGCCAAGGACCCAGACTTCAGCAGGGGACTCAGTGACAAGGGCCTCCTGGACCTGCTGCAGTGAGAAGGTACATAGGACCTGAATAAGGCTGCAGGCTTATTTTGTGTGGCTGCAGACATGTGGGAAGCTCTGGTTGTTGCATAGAAAAGCAAATGACAGCCCCAGAGCTTAGGGAGAAACCTACATATGATCCCAAACAAGGAGCATGCTGGAGCAGAATGTATGGAAACCATCCTGTCAAAGGGGTAATTTCTTAAATATGTGACTTTCATGGGAGCTGAGAAAAAGTTTGACTGAAATGAAGTGGGGAAAAGCAGACAAGCAAAAATAAATCAATAAGGACCAAGTCCACCATCTTGCAATTGCTTATCACTTCTCTGGTTTTGTAGTACTTATTGATAGCTTTCTACACTCTGCAAGGAGAAATCCCACATTAGGCTATATCCCCACAATGTCTGCACACTAAAGCAGGAAAGCAGGGCTGCAGGCGTGGGGCAGGAGTGCGGCAGAGCCATTCTCCTGATTGGCAACACTTAGCTGAAGGGGGGCAGGGCAATGGTTGGGTTGGGGCTGCCCAGGTGCACTGGGGAGAGTTCTGGATTGGTCTCTTGGTGTGCCTGGGCAGACTCAACCTCACCATTGCCCTATTGCACCTCATCAAGGAAAATGGCAGCAGCATTGCCATTGTTGGGACTGCACCATGCTATACTGGCTGCTCTTGCAACCAAGAGCCTTGTGGTACCTTCAAGACCAATATATTTTATTAAATCATGAATGGACAACCTCAGGCCCTCAGCCTACCAACAAAACCCCCCTGCAAGGGTTCAATTCAGACCTCTGTCAAGAGCAACCAACCTGTCCCCGCTCTGGAGTTTTGCTGGGCGAAAAGAAGGATGGAGAAGGCAAAAAGAGAGAGATATGGGATGAAGCCAGCCATTTTGGTTTTGGCCTCACCTTATTCCTGACTTTTGCCCCACTGACAGCCAGCATGTGACCCCATAAAAAGACTAGCCACAAATGAATATTGCCTTTATCGTAAAAAATTTAAAAAGGTCCACTTCATCATAAGAATAAGGTCTAAAACTTTCTGGACTAGACTCAGCTTCATGGAATGCATAAAATCTCAAGTTGGAAGGTATATATGGAATATTATGTATATTGTTACAGCTTGTGTTTAATGCATTGCCTTTCTCTCTGACTTCACTGCTTATACACTCACACGGTGGCACATGCCTGGTACATGGCTGTAATATTTACCACATTTAATTATTTTTCTACAGTTCTTCCTTACATGTCTAAGCATTTGCCATACAAAACATTTGTTGTGCTCGCCCTAGTGTGGTAAGGCAACATGAAGCTAAAATAATTAAAACAAAATTGTTATTGAAATTGAACATTCAGGCTGAAAACCTGATCAAAACACACAGGTGATTAAATCCTATTGGATGCTATGGGACTTCCTGCTGACTCCATGAAAACATGCAAAGATTTATGCTATCACAGTATGTAGTGTAGCCCAACTACAGAGATGAATGAATTATGGCTCCAGCTCTAGCTAAAGGGGGGGGGAGCCTTCAAAAGAAAATGATTTTCTTAACTTTGAACACCTCCAGGCATAATGTTTAGCCATCAATTCATGTTCTGTTAAAATATATTTGAGTTGCCTTTGAATTATGACTGGAGATTAACAGGGCAAACTGTAAAGTCAGTCACAGGAGATCTGCATGCTATTATGTTTTTTTGTTTTTAAGTTCTTGCTCTGCCCTGGTTTGGGAACTAATCATATGTATAGAGTGAGCATGATGCATTCTTTAAAAAAAAACAACTAATTGTGACTTGATTGCACCTATCTTAACATTTTTGTTTAATGGTGCTTTGCATTTAAATTACACTGTATTTGCATATTTTATGAAGGCTGCTAGTGATCAATCTCATCAGACACAGCAATTAAGATAGGGTACTTTTCTAGGAATGGTGTATTGACATTTGATGGGACTGGTGAACAATATTGTGATAAACAGTACTCTCCCAATCCTGCTCTAGTCATATTTTGTTGCTAGAATAATATCAGCTCCATTTCTCAGGTACAGTGAGGACTGCATAGCAGTCACAATGTACAGTCTTTCACACAAGATGTGTGTGAATCTCCCTTGCTGCATAGGAACATAAAGCCCATTGATTATAATCTGACTTTTTTTATTAGCTTTGCCTAGGTCAAAGTTGGGATGTGGGTGGTGCTGTGGGTTAAACCACAGAGCCTAGGACTTGCCGATCAGAAGGTCGGTGGTTCGAATCCCCGCGACGGGGTGAGCTCCCATTGCTCGGTCCCTACTCCTGCCAATGTAGCAGTTCGAAAGCACGTCAAAGTGCAAGTAGATAAATAGGTACCACTCCAGCGGGAAGGTAAACGGCGTTTCCATGCACTGCTCTGGTTCGCCAAAAGTGGTTTAGTCCTGCTGGCCACATGACCCGGAAGCTGTACGGCCAATAAAGCGAGATGAGCGCCGCAACCCCAGAGTTG